TCATCCATCATCATCATCATCATCATCATCATCATCATCATCATCATCATCATCATCATTATCATCATCGGGTCGCCTACGGCCCTGGGGGAAGCCGTGACGGGGAGGGGGTCCAGACCTGCGGGGCCCACGGACTGAGAAAGCAGTTCTGGGGGTTCTCGAACCCATCTTTGCGCAGACACGAACACACGGACACGGCGCCTACTCCTCCCTGGGGACGGCCCCACGAAGAGCTAGGCGGTGGCGCCTCGGCGCCGACAGAGAGATTCAAACTCAGTAGAAAGTGGGAAAAGAAGTGAGGAAAAACCAGCCAGCCGAATCACCCGAGTTTTGCACGGGACCTCTCGAACTCGACCCAGATCGATCCGCGAGGGCCCTGGAGTCCGAAGCAGTCGATGATCCGAATCCGCCGCCATGCCAGCGGCACGCTGGGGCGTGTTAGAACCTGGGGCAGCACGGGAACGGAGAGAGCGGTCCTCTGGAGCGGAAGTGTCACATGATCTCAGAGGCATCTGGAAGGCATCTTGGAGGCCTCTTGGAGGCCTTCGGGGCCGTTTGGGGGCCCTCTGGAGCCGTCTGGGGGCCCTCTTGGGCCGTCCTGGGGCCCTTGGACCGTCCTGGGGGGCTTGGGCCAGCTTGAGGCGCCCGCGGGGCCCTCTTGGAAAGCCTCCTGTGGCCGCCGTCGCCGCCCGTCGTCTGGGCCATAGTCTGGGCCGGCGTGGTGGTCTGGCAGCTGTGTTGTCACCGTCGCCGCACCATCGCCGCCTCGTCGCCGCCCGTCGTCTGGGCCAGTGTGGCGGTCTGGCAGCTATGCCGTCGCCTTCGCCGCCCCGTCGCCACCTCGTCGCCGCCCGTCGTCTAAGCCAGTGTGACTGACGGTCTGGCGGCTAAGTTGTCGCCGTCGCCGCCCCGTCGCCGCATCGTCGCGGCCTCGCCTTGCACTACATAGATTGCACCACATGGATTGCACCACATATATATATATATATATATATACATATATATATATATACATATATATATATATAGATATATTGCACCACACAGATTGCACCACAAATATTGCAAACTAGAGATCGCACTACATAGATCGCACCACATAGATCGCACCAAGTGCATTACACGACACAGATCGCGCCACATGGACTGCGCCACATAGATCGCTCCAACTTCATTCTCCTTTCTAAAAAGAGAATAGACTCTACCCCCCCCCGGACTTATCGGTTCCCCCTGGGATAATGCGATTTCATATATATATGTATTATGCACACTCGTCCATCCTAAGTATGAAATCATACCATCCCAGCTAGGCCAGCTTCCCCCCCTGAGGTTCCCTTGTAAAAAAACAGTATGCGGTGACTTTTTTTGTTCTAACATAGCACTTTTTCGCGAATCCCTTGCAAAAAATGAAACGAAGTGCACACGCTCGAGTCGTCGCGCGCGCATGCCGAAATCCTTCAAAAACCTTGGGTGCGGGAAGGATGTCGCAATCGAGTTTCCAAAGAACATACAAAAACACAAGGTTTCGCAACACAGAGTTGCTAAAAAAGCTTCCGCGAAAGCTCTCGCGAAATCTTAAGAAAACCATGGGCTTCGCGCGCGCTCATGTCGAAATCTGTCGAACGCCCTTGCGCGTGTGCCGTCGCGAGAATCCCCTGCAAAAAATGGGACGAAGTGCAGACGCGCGCGTCGTCCCGCGCGTATGCCGAAAACCTTCAAAACCCATCGGTTTCGGAAGGATTTCAAAATCGTGTGTCCAAAAAACCTACAAAAACACAAGGTTTCGCAACACGGATCTTCAACAAAAGCGTGCGCGCGCGCTCTTGCGTCGTCGTCGTCGTCGTCGTCGTCGTCGTCGTCCTCCCTCCTCCCGCGTCGTCGTCGTCGTCGCCTACGTCGTCCTCTGTCTTTCCTCGTGTTCGTCGTCGTCGTCCTCTTTGGCGTCGTGGTCGTTTCCGTCGTCATTGTCGCCGTGGTCGTCCTTCCTCCTCCTCCCTCGTCGTCGTCGTCGTCCGTCGTCGGCGTCTCGTCGTCGCCCCTCCTATTTCGTCGCCGTCGTCGTCGTCGTCGTCGTTGTCGTCGTCGTCGTCGTCGTCTTCCCTCCTCCCTCGTCGTTGCCGTCGTCGGCGTCGCCGTCCTTCCTCCTTCTTCGTCGTTCGGGTCGTCGCCGTCCTCCCTCCTCCCTCGTCGTTGTCGTCGTTGTCGCCGTCGTCGTCCTCCCTCCTTCCTCGTTGTCTTCGTTGGCGACGTCGTCGTCGTCTTCGTCGTCGGCGTCGGCGTCGTTGTCGTCTTCGTCGTCGTCGACGTCGGCGTCGTCGTCGTCGCCGCCGTCGTCGTCGTCGTCGTCGGCGTCGTGGACGTCGTCGTCGTCGTCGTCGTCGGTGTCGTCGTTGTCGTCGTCGTCGCCGCCGTCGTCGTTGTCGTCGTTGTCAGCGTCGTCGTCGTCGGCGTCGGCGTCGTCGTCTTCGTCGGTGTCGTCGTCGTCGTCGTCGTTGTCGGCGTCGTCGAAGTCGTTGGAGACGTCGTCGGTGTCGTCGTAGTCGTTGTCGGCGGCGTCGTCATCGTCGTTGTCGCTGTCGTCGTCGGCGTCGCTGTTGTTGCCAAGTGCCATGTGGTACCCACCGTCACGGTCTTAAGAGATTTTGCAAACCAAGTTGCGGGTGGGTGGGTGGGATGTTTGCGCGAGCAGTGGAGTGGACAACTCACTGCGAACAGAAATTAATTGCACCGCATAGGTGGCACCAAAAAGACTGCACCAAATAGATTGCATCACAAAGATCACACAACACACATTGCACAACACAGATTACACCGCGTATAGCGCACACCATGGATCGCGCCCTACATTGCACAACAAATAGTTCACAAGATAGATCGCATCACAGAGATCGCACCACAGAAGATTGCACCGCATATATTACACCACATATATTGCTCGACATATAATGCACAGCATATATTGCTAGAACAAACACTGTTTGGGGTCCACGTTGGCTAACCTGTTTTTTATGATGTTCGCGTTCCTGCCGTTTTGGCTCTCGACAGCACAAGCCAAGAGGCATCCAGGACAGCCCAAAAGGGGCTCAAGACGGCCAAAGAGGCCCCAACACACAGCCCGACAGCCCCAAGACGGCTCAAGAGACCTCCAAGACGGCACAAAAGCGCTTCCAAGACGGCCCAGAGAGACCCCCAAGACAGCCTCCGAAAGCGTCAGACGGGCCAAGAGAGTACTAAGATGATTCAACAGGCCCCCGATACAGCCCTCGACAGCTCCAAGCGGCCCTCCAGGAGGGCGCGAGGGAGCCAAAATCACTGAATTCCAGATGGTGGTTCACTGACTTTCGCGTTCCCTGCCTTTTGTGCCTTCCGACAGCCCAAAACTCACCCCCAGGTGCATCTGAGACGGCCCAAGAGGCCCCCAAGAGGCTCAAGAGGCCCCCACAGGGACCCCAACAGACAGCGTCCGAAAGCATCGGACGGGCCAAGGTGGCCCCAAGAGGCCCCGGGGGGCCCCCGAGAAGCCCCAGGGCGGCCCTCGGGAGGCCCCTCGGAGCCCCCCAGGAGTCTAGGGAACGACGAGGTCGAGTGGAAGACCCACTCGTGTCTGGACCGCGCGTCAACTGCCGTGGGTCTTCCGATCCGCCTCGTGCACTCTGCGCTGCTGCGCCGGCGTGGTGGGCGGGGACACAGCAGGCGGCCGAACACAATAACGAAAGGTTTGCCAGCAGAAACCTTGGACGAGGAACAACTCCGTGTTCGGCCTCAGCTTTGGACGCCCGAAGTGGGTACTTTAGTAGTGGAAACAATTGGTTTTCAAAATGTTTGGTCTTTAGAAGCTCTGCGTGGCGACGCCCCCGTCGCCACGCGTGCCGCCACGTAGAAGTGCTGGAGACCGAGCATTTGGAGCGTCGCTACGCACGCCCTCTGCGTGGCTGCGACCATTTGTTAAAACCCTAAAACCAATTAAAGTCACGAATCAAGTACGGAAAGAATGGGTACAGTGCCCAACAACAAATGCTGTCCCAAACCAACAGCGGCCGCTGTTGGGCAGGCGGCCTTCTGTCTCGAATGTACACAGGCCGCAGCGGCGTGGACAGCGAGTCCTGTTCAAAATGACAGGATCCGCTGTTGGGCATTATACACATTATTTCCGTACCCATTTCGCTCGTGCAGAGCGTCCAGATGCGCTAGCAACACCACAGGACGACACATGAAAAAAACTAGAGAACACGGAGCCCATTTCGACGGGCGCCAGCGCGGCGCCGTGGGCTGCGCCAGCGCACCCCCGACACCCCCGCGCAGGGGAGGAAGAACCCCGACCCGCGGGAGGTTTAGGTCTTCGTCTTCGGTCGTCCTCCTCCTCCTCCGCCTCCTCCCCCCGCCTCCTTCCTCCTCATCCTCCCCCCTCCTCCTCCCCTCCTCCCCTCCTCCTTCCTCCCTCCTCCTCCTCCTCCTCCTCCCCCTCCTCCTCCCCCTCCTCCTCCTCCTCCGTCCTCCTCCTCCGTCCTCCTCCTCCTCCTCCTCCTCCTCCTCCTCCTCCTCACCCTCTAAACTTAGACGTCACGCGCGTGGGCCCTGCCGCTCGACGGTCCACGGAGGCGGCCTCGGCAGGCGTGGGAAGCGGCGGGCAGGCGGCCGCCGAGGGCTCCCACAGTCGCTCTCGGCAGAGGCTCGCGAGGCGGCCCCACACTGCGCTGTCCACCGTCCCATGGATCCCCCCGAAAGTGACAGGGATACTCCGGATTCCATCATGAAGCAGGGGGGTCACATCAAGCGGGGGGTCCGATTTGAGCTGCCTTGCAGGGCTCGGGGGGGGTCGGGGCAAAGTGTCGCCCTTTCATGGACGGTCTGGGGGGGGTCTAAAACTTCTGGTCTGGGATGGTTTTGACCCCCTCCCTCTTATTACGAAATCTGGAGTACGCAGAAGCACCATTACTGACTACCTACCAGACCACCCCAACCCAACCCGAAGACCCGAATATCGGGTTGGGGGGAGGATGGGCTCCATAGGTGTTTTCCCTATGTTCCCCGACCCCCCCTCCCCCACTGGAAATGGAGGGCAAATGGAAGCCTTCGGGCTGGGTTGGGGTGGTTTGGCGGGTGGTGAAGTACACCACCAGCGCGACAGTGCCTGGCCAGGGCCGCCCTGGGCCGCAAGATAGCGTGCAGGTTCCCTGGCCTCGGCGAGGAGGGCGCACGTGCCATGCCAGGGCCCAGGACGGCCCTGGCCAGGCACGGCGGCAGTGTATAACTGCATTCTGGGGAATGTCAATTCGGGGATGGACAGACCCCCCTTCAGTAAAACGTGGTTTAGTGAAAATGACCTGAGGCCCAAACCTGGCGGGCGCAAGCCTGGAAAATAACGGCCACGGCGCCATCTCGAGAACCGAAAATGGACAATTCACTAATCGATGTGTCACTGTTGAGGGTTCTGTCCACCCCCGATCAATAGCGGACTGTCCCCACATCCCCGACATCGTGACTTTGTCACGACGTGGATCCTCAGCAATTCTGGACCCTTTCCCCGGAACTGGCACTTCATTCCGAGTGATTCTTCTTCGACGAATGGCACTGCCAGGAGGAACGCTAAATAAGGAACGAAGGGGCTTTCCTTGCCACGGCGAGCTTCGGCCGCGATTAAATTCCCCGACTTTAAGTGTAAGGAACGGCCGGAAATCCAAAGCCCCTCCTGAGCCCAGTGGTCCTCGGTTGAGCGCCCGGCTGAAAACAGCGTGTCTGCAAGGGTCACGTATGGCTCCTAAGAAGGACCAGGGGGGCCGTTGCCAGCCCCGGAATCGGTGACTTGATGCAAGCAAGCAAGAAGCCGTGCACGCTAGAGGCGCGTTGGCAATATGGTGAAACAGAGACGATCGAATGACACAGTGAGCGTGCTAAGCACGGCAACGGAAGAGGAGGAGGAGGAGGAGAGGAGGAGATGAAGAGGAAGATGAGATGCAGCAACTCTTGTTGAGGAGCCCACGGATCTTGGAACAAGACCTGAACATCATCACCCAAAGTCTCGGCGGGACCTGAGACGAACGGAAAAGGTGACGTGCTGGCAGCCGTATAGTTTAGGAGGCAACTACTGGGAGGTTTTCGTCGGAAAGATTAAGGAGGATTACGCCTCATTGGAGAGCTATTACGCCGGAGTGGGCCTCGGATTAAGCGGGATTGAGCCGGATTTAATGGGATTAAGCGGGATTAAGCGGGTTAAGCGGGATTAAGCGGGATCAAGCCGGATCAAGCTGGACTTTGGACCAGTGCAAAATCAGACGTTGCCCTCCCGAGCGGGGACTTTGACGAGCCAGGACTTTGGCACACCCGGGAGTACTGCAGCCACGGGTCGAAACGTGCTCGGCGTTTCAAGGGGAACGAAAATGACATAAGCTTAAGTCGGGCCTGTCCCCCTACAAGGGGATGTTGGACGAAAAAAAAAAAAAAAAATCCAGACATGCCCAAAAATAATCAAAATATAGTTTTTTCTGACTATTTCTGAAGATTCCTCCTGTGGAGAACAAGCCCGACTTAACACAAGCATAAGAACTCGTAGGTCCGCGCGAATTCCTTGGATCCGCACTGGAATCCCCCCCCTTGGCCTCCGCAGAGGGTCTCTCTCCGGCTGGGTCTGGCGGCAGGGTCTCCCCGCAAGGCCTCCCCGTGGGGCCTCCCCCTAGGTATCTCCCCGCACGGTCTCCGAGTGGTCTCCCAGCATGTGCTCTCGCGTGGCCTCCCGAATGTTCTCCCCATACAGTCGGGGCGTTGACCTAAGGAACCCGAAATAAGGAACGAGGCCCCTCGTTTCCATAAGTTGAACTTCGATTTCCCATACACCAACCTAAAGAAAACCCGAGGCAAACTGTCGAACAATCAAGGAACACCGAGCCCCTCCCCAACGACAAGGGTTCCTTCTCCAGAGCCCCGGCTGTACCTCGGTCCGGCTGTACTGCTCTCCTCGGCCATGGGGAGCGAGAGGGGCGGCGCAGAGGGAGCGCCCGCCTTCTCGATGACCAGGGTGGCGTCCAGCCTGGCCCGCGGCGGCCCTGCGCCCTCTTGGGGCACAGGGCCCCCGCGACGGCGACGACGAGGGCGACGACGACGACGACGGCGAGGACGACGGCGACGACGACGACGGCGGCGGCGACGGCGGCGGCGGCGGCGGCGACGGCGACGACGACGGCGGCGGCGACGACGACGACGACGACGACGACAGCCACGGCGCCGGCGGCGGCGGCGGCGGCGACGGCAACGGCGACGAGCCCTTGCGACGGCGACGGCGGCGGCGGCGGCGGCGACGAGCGACGAGCGACGAGCGACGGCCACGCGCCTGGCCGGGGCCTGTCGCATCCGCCGCCGGTGGCCCCGAGCGCGCACCCGCCCTCCGTCGCGCGACAGGGCGCGACCGCGCCCCGTCGCGCGCGCGCGCGCGAGGGCGGCTCTCGGGCCACGGGGCGGGCGGGGAGGCGGCGCGCCGGGCCGCAGCTGCGGCGGCGGCGGCGGCGGCGGTGGGGTGAATGTCTGCACTGCCCGCGCCGGGCCTCCTCCTTCCCCCTCCCCTCCCCTCCCCAGCGGGGGGGGAGGAGGGGGAGGAGGAGGAGGAGGAGGAGGAGGAGGAGGAGGAGGAGGAGGAGGAGGAGGAGGAGGAGGAGGGAGGAGGAGGAGGGAGGAGGAGGAGGAGGAGGAGGAGGAGGAGGAGGAGGAGGAGGAGGAGGAGGAGGAGGAGGAGGAGGAGGAGGAGGAGGAGGAGGAGTACAAGACAAGACAAGACAAGACAAGGCAAGATAAGACAAGACAAGGCAAGACAAGACAGGACAAGTCAAGGCCACTTGCGATCCGCAGTCCGACATGGCCTGGCTGAAAGGCAAGGGCCCCGTATGTCGCCAACTCTGCACGGGGATACCACTGGCCATGATGGAGATCGAATCGGGCATCGCGACAACCTGAGGCCGCCAACACGCGGCACCACAGGTGAGAGTAGTGACGAACGGACCACTCTTAGGGAAATGATAACAACACGCAACAACGACTGTATCACTGCAGTGTTGCTGAGTGGCGTCATGTATTGGAGCAAAGCGGAAAGTAGAGATCGAGATTCTATTAAGCAAAGCAGGGCTGGAGGTCAGAGAGGGAAGGGGAAGGGGGAGGGAGAGAAAGAAAGGGAGGGGGGAGGAGGAGCTAAGAGAAGGAGAAAGGAGGAGGAAGGGCGAGGGAAGCGAGGGAAGAGAAGGAAGGAGAAGGAGGACGAGGAGGGAGAAGCGAAGAGAATATTTTGGTTGGAGTAGCGGCTTACGCATGATGCTGTCGTCTGGGCCGAAAAGTACCAGTTCAACGTATAAACCAGCCCAACTAATAGAAAATAGCGGGGCCTCGCCTGGCTTGAAGCCCCCCGCATGCTCAGGCAGGCGGTGCTCAACAGCTCGGAAAAAAAAGACAGCAGAGAGCGATAGGTGAAAGAGATGAGGACACGATCTGAGCAGTGTCGTACCTTTTCCACACAGGCCGAACCAACATAGGAGGAAGTTGCCGCCCTCCTACGTCTTCCTAGTCATTGTGTTCCTTCTCGTCGTTTTCCTCCTCTCCCTCCTCCTACTTAATCTCTGTATACATACATATATATATATGTGTACATGCGTACATGTATACATTATATATATATACATACATACATATACATGTATATATGTGCTACATAGCATACATATTCCCTACCTAGGCTCTGCCTAGAAGGGTTCTTACTCTCTTGGCTTAAAGGGCCGGGCAGTGGGAACCGGCCTGGGCGGTTCCAACAGTATCCGCCCCGAGGTTCCCCCAGTTACGTCCCCTTAGCTTAGCGTTGCTTATCTCATCTTAGCTTCTCTTATTTCATCTTAGCTTAGCTTAGCTTCATCTTAGCTCAGGTTTATCTTAGCTTAGCTTACCTTCATCTTAGCTTCGCTGAGGTTTAGCATAGCAGAGCACAGCATAGCATAGCATAGCGTAGCATAGCATAGCGCAGCATAGCATATCATAGCATAGCCCAGCATAGCCCAGCATAGCATAGCATAGCATAGCGCAGCATAGCGCAGCACAGCACAGCACAGCGCAGCATAGCATAGCATAGCGTAGCGCAGCTTAGCATAGCATAGCATAGGATAGCATAGCATAGCTTAGCATAGCACAGCGCAGCATGACATAGCATAGCATAGCATAGCATATCATAGCATAGCGCAGCATAGCATAGCCTAGCCTAGCATAGCATAGCATAGCATAGCATAGCAACTAATGTTGCTTTCCTTGGGGCTCCAACTTCTAGGTAGGGTCGCACTGGGGTGATTATACATATATGATGGCCAATGTGGATCCCAAACAGCGAGTTCTCGCAATCTAGGCTGTGCAAGATAGGTGGCCCAATCAATGTAGTGCCATCTAAGTGGTGCATTCCACGTGGTGCAATATGCGCAGAGTGAAACGATGCGGAAGAATGCAATGCAATGCAATGTAATGCAATGCAATACAATGCAATGCAATGCACAGCAGCGAACAGCAATGCAGAGCAATACAAAGCAATGAGAAGAAGTGAAAAGAAGCGGAAAGCACTTCCAAGCAATACACAGCAATGCAACGCAAAGCTATTCAAAGCAAGGCAAAGCAATGCAAAGTAATGCAAATCAATGCGCAGCAACGCAAAGCAACACAAATCCGCTGACACTTCGACGTGTGTGCGACGCTGTCGCCGTCTTCGTCGTCCTCCTCGCCCAAAAGAGAAAGGGTCTGAGAGAGAAAAGAAACCTCATTGTTAGGTCGATTCCCTGCCTTTTTTCCCCTCCCTGACGAGCGGGGTGCACGGAAGGGGGTAGGTGGGGGGGCACGGAGGGGGGGAGGTGTGGGGGTGGTTAAGGGGGGGGGGGCCCTCCTCTCGAGTCCCTGGCGGGCCCCTTGGGGGGGATCACCCCGGTGGACAAGCGGCCAAGGGAACCGCCTCCTCCAGGGGGGTCGCCCGCGGGGGTCCCCAGGAAGGTCCCGCCTGTGGTGGAGAGGTGGTCCCGGGTGAGAACGGCAGCCCCCCCCGGGTCCCAGCGGGTACCGGGGGGGGCGCCAGCAGGGTTCCTGGGATAGGTCCCGCCTTCAGGGTCGACAACACCGGCCGCAAGGCCTTCATTTCCGAGCAATGCAAATCCACAAAAAGCAATGCAAAATAATGTAAAGCAAAGCAAAGCAATGCAAAGCAATGCAAAGCTGCGAAGACCAACGAAGAGCAATGCAAAGCAATAGAAAGCGACGTCTCCTGCAGCTGATGCCCGAAACTTCTCGATCAGTACGTTCACCTTGACCTCGCAAACTGCTCCGAACTCGCCCGTCAGCCGACGCAAACCAACCTGCTTGCAGAGCTGCTCGTGCACCTCTGCTGCGCGTGACTTCGTTCCAGTGTCCGAAGGTTTCTCGCTGCCCCTACACTTCGGTACCTTTAAGCCAAGCAGGCGGGTCGCCTGCTGCACCCACAGCGCTCTCGCGCCCAGGTCGCGGACCATCCCGACCCCCCGCCCCAGGGACATCCCCCGAGCCGCCGAAGAGCCAGTGGCCAGGGCCCACTCAACCCTGAACCCGAGCCACGTGAGCAAGTCCCTCAGCATCTCCCCGTCCGTCGCGACGGTGCTCAGGGCGTAGAACTCGCTCTCGCCTGAGCTGACTGCTAGGTCCTGCCTCCGCACCAGCGTCGCCAGCCCCACGCCGTCTGCGAAGATGACCCCGCACGCGGCGCTCTTGCGCTTTGCCTCCTTCCCGCCGTGGTCGCTGTCCGACAAGGTCCTCAGCTGGATCGCGCCCTTCTCGTGGGCCCTCGCGCCGACCTTCGGCGCGAACGCGCCCTGATCGGATGTCCCGACCAGGTGCCGCCCGAGGCGCAGCAGCCACTTCCAGGAGAACTCCGTCGGCTTGGCCGAGTCGCCCGCCGACATGCCCACTGCCCGCTGGATGCCGGTCCGATCCTGCGCCAGATGGAGACCGCTTCCCACGCGCGACCGACACCTCGCGACCTGCTCGTGGACGAATGGCGGAGAGAATTCGAAAATATCCTCCAGCCCAAACTCTGGAGTTCTGACTGCATCCGCGCCCTTCAGCCCCAGCTCGGCGATGATGTTGGCGCCGTGCTTCTCGCGCGGGTGGAGTAAGATGCCTTCGCTGGTCCTGGTCCTGGTGCGCCTCAATTACTCGAAGCGGCCCTCGATGCCTTCAGCTTGGTCCTGATCATCGGGAGAAAGCCCCCCATATCGCTCTTGCGGCCTGCGCAAAAAAAGTCGCACATGTGCAACTCCAAGCTCAGCCGAGCCATCGTATTCCTGTAAAGCTGCGGGCAGGCCTCGCTCCGCTCGAACGCGCAGTCCACGATCTGGTCGGCAGCGAAGCCGGCCCACTCTCGGCTCGCCGCCCTTCTGCCGGGAAGCCGCTTGACCAGCTCCCAAACGACATCCACGCCAGGGCCTGCCTCGGCCCTCGCCGCAAGCCACTCGCGCGAGGGGTCGCAGCAGAACTCCTCCTTCTCGGGCACCTGATATCGCGTACTGGCGACGTCGCCGACGGCCATCACGAGCGGGCCCTCTGGGTCGTCGTCGCCCTTGAAGCCGAAAAAGTCAACGACGCGACTGGTCAGCGATGTGGACCCAGGCGCGAACGGGTCGTCGCGCTCCTCGAGCCAGGCAAACCCCCTGCTCACGAGCCTGCACTGGAGGACCCCTGCGCGGCCCTTCTTCTCCCACTCGGCATCAACCTTGCCGTTGCCATCGGCGGCGGTCCGAGGTGGACCGAGTAAATGCCGAACTCGTCGAAAAGCTTCAGGCCGATGTCGACGGTCAGCGCCGCCTCCTCCATGCGAAAGCCGCCGGTGCCCCAGCGCGTGAGCTCCTCGGCCGTCAGCAGCGTCTCGTAGTCCAACTGCTTGCTGATGTCCCCGACGGCGCCGACGATCGAATCGTCGACGCGCAGCCTCTTTCCTCCAGGCCCGTGGTCGGCGCCGCCGGGAGACCTCGGCCTGGTTGGCGCACTCGGCGCGGTCGGCATTGCAACGCCGCGCCCGCTGCTGCCGCTGGCCCCCTCGAGGTCGACGGGCGTTGCTGCCTATGGTCCGCTCGAGGATCCGCTGCCCGAGCCCCCGCCGACCTGCCTGAAGCCCGCGGCCTGAACTTCGGGGCCCCTGGCCGAGCTCCTGGGATCGGGGCCTCAGATTGAGCTCCTGGAGCCGGGGCCCCTGGAGGTGCTGCCCCTGGCTCTGGGTTCGAGGCCCCTGGGACTGCCCCCATCGGGCTCCTTCTCCGGAGCCTCCAGCGGCGCCGGCACGACCCCCCCCTTGCCGCTGCCCGCGGCGGGGAGCGGGGGGCGGAAGCGAGCTGGTCCTTCCAGGGCCCGCAGCAGACCTTCAAGAGCAGCTCCTAGTCGCGGCGCTTCCCCCCCGGCATCCTGCAAACGGCCCTGCAGGTCACCTTCCCAGCCAACGCGAGGACAAAGCGCTCGCCATTGGCGCTCGTCTTGCCGACCAACAAATCCACTTCGCCAAGGCCGCGCCCGCCCTGGTGAGTCTAGGGGCGACGCCGCCCATCGAGCGCCGCTGGCCCGTCGCGGAGACAAGGGCCCCCGCCATCACCGCCTCGGCGAATGGCGCCACCGCGCCCGTATAGCTCCCGCCGTAGACCGCGAAATTCGCCGCGTAGCCGCCCGCGCCCCCGCCGAACAAGTTCGTCGCGTTCGACGCACGGCGGGCGAAGAACGGCCAGCGGGGGGGGCGAGGCGCAAGCTCGATGCCGCAATTCCTCTCGACCTGGACCCCGTTCGCTATCAGGCGCCCGCGCCACCGCCGAACGCGCTCCTCGACGAAGCCCGTCGACTTGATGTCCCGCGCGCGCCCCTGCGAGACCCCGGCCCCGAGCCCCCCATCGCCCCTCGCGGCGACGACCTCGTCCCGCAGCGCCTTCGCCGCTGGCTCGGCGTCGCACCTGAGCTCTGGCCTCTGGCAAGCCAATTTCTCCATTAACCTCGCGAGCTGCTTGGCCTCGTAGTCGCCCGCGGCCTCGCTCCACAGCGCGCCGCCGAAGAGACACCGCGCGCGGCGGTCAGCGGCCGCCAGGGGCGCGCCAAGGCCTCGGTCGGCCCCGTCGCAGACGTTCTCGGCATCCCTCGTCGCGTTGAAAGCCCAGTCGAAGAAGATCAGCCACTCCCCGACGTCGCCGCCGTAGATCAGCCGCTCGACGCGCCGGCCCTCGAGGCCCATGCCGAACACACACGCGGGGCACCACTTCTTGAACACCGCGTGGCCATAGGCTTCGCGCTGCTCCCTCTCGATCTCCGTCGGGGCGCAGGGCGCCTCGATGGCCCTCGCCCCCACCACTGGCCGGCCGTCGACCTGCTGCTGATATCGCCCCCCGACCGCCCCCTCGAAATCGAGGTCCTGCTTGCGATCGAGCCCTGCATGCTTAAGCCGACTCCACGGCTGCCCCTTCGCGCCGTAGATCGCCGCGCCCAGCTCCTTCAGGCGAGCTCAAAGCATGTCAACTCGAGAGCCCGGCCCCAACTCAGCTCCTGCCGGGCCCCCCACAAAAGCCCCCACAGGCGCAGCTGCTGGCGGGGGGGCCGCCTCGGGGGCCGCGCCGCCAGACCCAGACGAAGCCCCGCCAGCGCCCTCTGCCATAGGCACAGGCACTGCTGCCCCGTCTGGAAGGGCGGCCCCCTCGCCCCCCACCCCCGCGCCCTCGTTGGTCGCGACGACGCCGATCTTCATCAAGCGCTTCTCCTTTCTGACCTCGCGCTCGGCGCCCTCCTTGTCCTTGCGCGCGCTCGCGAGCACGCCGGCCGATCGCATTCTTCCGGTGGGCCATCGGGACCTTCGCGCACTGACCGTCGGGCCTGGTGCAGCCGACATAGCACCGATCCTCGCGCGAGTAGCTTGCGTCGAAGCCCGCGTCGTAGCAAGTGCTGAACGCGTTGCGTGCGAAGGGCCCAATCTGGAAAGTCGCCCGGCAGGCTGCCTGACCTCCCACGGCAAAGGGAACCGCAGCCTCGCCGTCGAGAGACACCTTCTGCGCGGCGATCAGCTCGATGGTCGCCTCGTTCACCTCGTTGTTCCTGGCGCGGCCAGGTCTCGCGCAGCGCCCATCACTCCCGCCGTCCAGCATCAGGATGCTGTCGACGTCAGGCCCTGCGCTGGCAACCTTGCCACCGCTGGTGGCCACCACTACCTCGTCGCCAGAATGGCCCAGAAACTCGCTCTCCAGCTGGTCGCCGACCGAGTCGCGAAATTCGGAGTCCACGTGGTCACCGACCGAACCGTGGAAGTCGTAGCCCACCCGGTCGTCGACCAAGTCGTGGAAATCGCAGCCAACCTGGTCGTCGACCGAGTCGTGGAAATCGCAGCCCACCTCCTCGCCGAAGGCCTCCAGCGACATGCACAGCCTGCACTCGTCGGAACCGTCGACGTCACTGGCCTCGACCACAGCGTAGACCTCGGCAGCGCCCTGCTCCCCGACGAGATTGACGCTGCCATTCTCCCCTTCTCGGCCCCGCAGCCCTTCCTGAGCTCGAATGAATTAGCCTCGATGCGACCCTTCTTCTTACAGCAGTGGCAAGTCTTGTATTGATCACCATTTCTACCTGTTCCAGCCTGGCCCTTTGGGCCCGCCCTTGGATTGCCCCCTCGGGCCCCCCATGGAAGCGCCTCCCTCGGGGGCCCCTCTCCCTGTGAACCATCGCTGATCCGCGGAGTGGCCGAACTCCCCACAGATTGCGCAACGAGGCTTGTCGAAGCCGCTCGCGTCGACCTGCGTCGGCAACGAGCCTGAGGTCGCACCGCTGAGCTCCGGGGGCATCGGAACGAAGGCCCTCGCGTTCTTCTCCAAGTAGTGCCCGCGAATCCTAGCCCTCATCACCGGATATTTCTCTCTAATTTCCTGAGTCGCGCCCTCGAGGACCTTCCTGTCGGCTGGCGGCGCGTGCCCGACGATGGTCGCACACTTGAGTCTCTCCGAGATCTCATCGCGGGGCGCCAGCTCATACTGCGCGACAAGATGGCCCCACTCATGGGGCACTTCCTCGAAGCTTCGCGAAGAGTGATCGCGTCGCTTGTCCACCACTTCGGCTGGACGACGGTCGCGAGCAAGCCGCGCTCCGACGCGCCGCCTTGAGGGCGATAGCCTGAGTAGATTTGCCGTAGAGCCTCGGACCATTTCCTGCACCAGCCAGCTTGGCCATCGCCTGAGTTTTGCCTCGCATCTTCATCGCAAAAAACGTGCCAAGATTGTGCGAGAGCTCTTTGACTTCTGCATTCGTGATGTTATCCATCTTGATGGGCCCATCGTGCGCGACCGCTGCGTCGAAGAGGCGTCTCCAGTCCATCTCCGTAACTTCAGCCTATAGAGCGAAGAAGAAGCTCTCAAACTCATCTTGAAACCCGCTGAGAGAGCCGTGCATCCGAATATCCTTCAGCAAACATCTGATAGGTTCCTCCATACGTCATCATCGCCACTGTTGGAGATCAAAACCCCTGGCCTCAACGAAACCCTGCCGCGAATCAAAGCCCGCTGCCTCAACGGATTCCTGCCGTAGAATCAAAGCCCGCTGCCTGCCGTGAATCAAAGCCCGCTGGAGCTCCTCGCGGCTCCACTGCCAAGTTTTCCTGTCGGTACATGCGCGATCCTGCAAGCACTCTGAGCCTACACGGCATCGGAGAAGAACAGGCATCACACTGCATGCCATACTTCGCGAATAACGAATGAGATTGGGAAGACACTGTAATACACAATCGGAGGTGAGGGGGTGAGATCGAAGTGGAACGGAGAGCCCCCCTACCGGGAAATCGATGTCGGTTTCGTGTTCGTGCGTGCCGTGCGTGCGGGCGAGGCGAAGCTGCGTGGGCGGGCGAAAAAAGTCTCCTGTGGCTGAGGCGCGGCCGGACCAAATGTTTCCCTTCCGGGCGGCCGGTGGCGCGCGGTGTCCCGCCGGTGTCCCGCTGGTGTTCCGTCGGTTCTCCTGTGGCTGAGGCGCGGCCTGACCAAATGTTTCCCTGCCGGGCGGCCGGTGGCGCGCGGTGTCCTGCCGGTGTCCCGCTGGTGTCCCGTGTGGCTGAGGCGCGGCCGGACCAAATGTTTCTCTTCCGGGCGGCCGGTGCGGCGCGGTGTCCCGCTGGTGTCCCGCCGGTGTCCCGTCGGTGTCCCGTCGGTGTCCCGATGATGATGTTGATGATGATTATGATGATGATTATGATGATGATGAGGGTGATGATGATGATGATGGTGATGATGATGATGATGTTGATTATGGCGATGATGAGGATGATGATGATGTTGACGTTGATGATGATGATGATGATGATGATGATGATGATGGCGATGATGATGATGATGATGATGACGTCGATTGTGAGATCGATTGTGATATCGATAGTGAAACCGGATGTGAGATCGATTGTGAGATCGATAGTGAGATCGATTGTGAGATCGATAGTGAGACCGAATGTGAAACCGAATGTGAGATCGATTGTGATATTGATTGTGAGATCGATGGTGAGATCGATGGTGAGACCGAATGTGAGACCGAATGTGAGATCGACTGTGAGATCGATTGTGAGATCGACAGTGAGATCGACAGAGAGACCGAATGTGAGACCGAATGTGAGATCGATTGTGAGATCGATTGTGAGATCGATAGTGAGATCGATAGCGAGATCGAATGTGAGATCGATTGTGAGATCGATAGCGAGATCGATTGAGTGAGACGTTGGTTCCCCCTCCCCCCTCACCTCTTTATCACCCGCAGGGTGGTCATATAGGTAAAATATATTCACATATTCATATACATATGCACGTACACATACATGTACGTATACCTGAACATGTACATAAAATAATACATACACAAATACAAATACATATACATATACAAATACGTATACATATACATATGCCTAGCCATACGCATATACATATATTTACACGCATACGTATACAAATTTACATATACACGTATATGAGAATGAGGGGGCCGAACGGTCATTCATTGTCCCTGGGTGCGTGGCTTAAGGGCGGATCCGTGGTGAGGGTTATGTTTGTTGCGTTGTTGTTGTTGTTGCTGTTGTACTTGTTTGTTGTCGTCGTCCCCCCCGCGACCTGGCCCGCGACCCACCCGCAACCCACCCCGCGACCCCCACCTGCGACCCACCCGCGACCCACCCGCGACCCACCCACGACCCGCCCGCGACCTGGACCACGACCCACCCGCGACCCACCGTCGACCCACCCGCGAACCACCTGCGATCCAACCCGCGACCCACCTACATTGTTTTACAGAAAATCGGCGCCTGCAGCGGGTTCGTTGTATAGCTTGAAATTTTTGCGCCTGCGGCGGGCTTTTTCAAAACCTCGCAGACTGCAAAAGTCCCCGCCGCCCCCTCACTCTTATCCGCAACTGCGGGGTGCTACGTATATCATACCTATATGTTAAGTCTCTTCCCCTTTGCCCTCCCATCCCCCCTCCCCTCCCCTTGTCCCTCCTTTCCCTTCCTCCAAACGAGTATGCGCATGCGCTTCTCTTCCGAAGCCGGGTGTGGGGGGAGGTGTGCGGTGTGCAATGCGCAGTGGGCGTCGCTAATTGGGGGAGCGAGAAAAGGGGGGGAGTAGGGTGCACTTCTCGAGCCCTGAAGGCCCCTGCAGGGCCCATGCATCGCCCCCTCAGCACGCGACGCCCAAGTGCAGTGTGGGGTGTGTGGTGTCGGCTTTATGGGGTGCTGGTGGTGGTGGTGGTCGTCGTCAACGCCGTCGTCGTACTCCTCCTCCAGCTCCACCCCCTTTCCTTATCGATGACTCATCGCTGTCGCAACCCCCACCGTGTGGGGAGGGCCTGGCGGGCGGTTCGCCTGAGACTTCCCGACCACTTACGATCCTGAAACTAGAAATTTGGCAACGACTACAATGATGGAGCACCGGTCGCTTTCACAGTGAAGCTCTCGCCTTAGCGGCACGCGCATTCGTCCTCAGAGTTTGCAACAATTACAAACATGGAGGGGGCTGTTTCCAAAATGGAGCGATCGCCTTAACGCCGCGCACATTCGCTTCAAACGCCCGTAGCAACTGGCGGCGCGCACAAGGGGGTGGGGGGAGGGCTTTTTAGAAGCAGGCTGCTTCTTAGAAGGCGCCGGCCTTACATCTATAGATAAGCCCCGCGCCTTCTAAGAAGCAGGGGTGTTTCTAAAAGGCCCTCCCCCCTCCCCCCCCCCCCTCTGCGCGTGGCTGAAGCAATGACAAGTATGGAGGGCAGCTTCTCTTCGAAATGGGTACTTTAGTAGTGGAAACAATTGGTTTTCAAAATGTTTGGTCTTTAGAAGCTCTGCGTGGCGACGCCCCCGTCGCCACGCGTGCCCTCTGCGTGCCTGCGGGGGCGCCGCCACGTAGAAGCACTGGAGGCCAAGCATTTGGGGCGTCGCTGCGCACGCCCTCTGCGTGGCTGCGACCATATGTTAAAACCCTAACACCAATTAAAGTCACTAATAAAGTATCGCGCCGGCGCGCACGCGCACCTTCGCCTTCAGAATTTGCAACAGTAACAGGGATGGAGAACAGCTCCTTTTCAACATTGGGCTCGCGCTTGAGACTTCCTGCAGCTGACAAACCAGAAACTTCAGCACGCGTACGCCAGATTTCGCAATAAAAGGGAGGGGGTCTGGACCCTCCAAGACAAGCCATTTCAGACCTCCCCCGTGGGAGAACCCTCCAAATCATCGCCCCCTGACCCCCCCAGGCCCTCCAAGATAGCTCGGAGAAGACCCCCCTCGAAATGAGACCCCCCTCCCTTCATTACGAAATCTGGAGTAGCAGCTGCACGGATGGAAGGCAAACTCAAATGAAGTTTCCTCGAACCGCATGACCAGACAGACGCAGCCTTGTGCAACAGCTACACGGATGGGGGTTCCCTTGTTTCAAACGAAGATATATATATATATATATATATATATATATATATATCTATATATATATATATAGATATAGACATGGTCGATCCCCCCCACCCCCCCCCCCCCCCCCAGCGACCCCCCAGAGCGCCCAAAGCACGAATACACAACTCAACTTTGGCCTGCCATCCAGGCTGACGAACTCATCCGCTCGGCCCATCCGTCACGGGCACCGTGCGCGCAAGCATATCGGTTTCGGCCGAGGCCACGAAACACTGTGTATCACAGGTTTTTCTGGTTTTCTGGTCTGGGAACCAACGAAACACTGCGTATCACAGGTTTTTCTGGTTTTTCTGGTTTCTGGAGCTGAAATGCTCGCCGCGGCCTCGCCCCACCGCTCCCCCACCTCCTGTTTGTCGGCACCTGAAAACCAGAAAAACCAGAAAAACCTGTGATATACAATGTTTCGTTGGTTCCCAAACCAGAAAAAACAGAAAAACCTGTGATACACAGTGTTTCGTGGCCTCCGAGCAAGAAAACACTGTGTACTCTTCGGGGACTACAGCGCTCGCCGCTCAC